AAACAGTGGCTGACTTTATTTTTTTGGCTCCAAAATCACTGCAGATGGTGACTGCAGCCATGAAATAAAAAGATGGTTACTCCTTGGAAGAAAAGTTGTGACCAACCTAGACAGCATTTAAAAAGCAGAGACATTACTTTTCCAATAAAGATCCATCTAGTCAAGGCTATGGTTTTTCCTGTGGTCTTGTATGGATGTGAGAGTTGGACTATAAAGGAAACTGAGCACCAAAGAATTGAAGCTTTTGAACTGTGGTGTTGGGGAAGACTCTTGAGAGTTCCTTGGACTGCAAGGAGATCCAACCAGTCCATCCTGAAGAAAATCAGTCTGTAGTGTTCATTAGAAGGACTGATGTGGAAGTGAAATTCCAATACTTTGGCCACTTGATGTGAAGAGCTGACTCATTGAAAAAGACCCTGATGCTGGGAAAGATTGAAGGCAAGAGGAGAAGGGGATGACAGAGGATGAGATGGTTGGATGGCATCACTGACTCAATGGACATGAGTTTGAGTAAACTCTGGGAATTGGTAATGGATAGGGAAGGCAAGGGTACTGCAGTCCATGGGGTGGCAAACAGTCAGACAGGACTGAGCAACTGAACTGAACTGATGCATATAAAAATGAAAATAGCCCTCTGAACATCTCTTCAACTCACAATGGTAAATAAACAGGTGATGACTTTTGTAATAAATATTCCTTCAAGTACTCTTTTTCCATTCAGCTGACACATCAGTGTTAAACTCTGAAACCTGCTCCAATTCCTGAATTCCATCAACAAGCATTTGCCTTAGCCCACTATCCTATATGATTATATAACAGAATCCTTTCCTTCTTCCTTTAAGCCTCCATAGTCCACCAATTAAGAAGGTAAACAGCAAATGTATTAGATTTCTTAGCAAGTGATTAACAAAATAAATACCAAATTTCAATGAGTAAATTTTTACATAACACATTCTTTGTAGAAAGTTTATACAAGTGTTTCCTGTGGGGATATTTTTGTTTATATATTTATTTTTTTACTGGAGTATAGTTGCTTTACAATGTTGTGTTACTCTCTGTACAAGGAAGTAAATTAGCAATATATACATATATCCCCTCCTCCCGGACCTCCCCCTCTCACCAATCCCACCTCTCTATGTCCTCAGAGAGCACTGAACTGAGCTCGCTATACTATCCAGCAAGTTCCCACTAGCTATCTACTTTACACATGGTAGTGTATATATGTCAATCCTATCTCCCCATTCATCTCCTAAACCTCCCCCACATGTGTCCACACATATGTTCTCTACATCACCATCTCTATTCTTGCAAATAGGTTCATCTATACCATCTTTCTTGATTTCACATATATGTGTTAATATAAGCATCTTTTTTGTTTTTCTTTCTGACTTATTTTACTCTGTATGATAGACTCTAGGTACACCCATGTCTCTACAAATGAGCTAATTTCATTCTTTTTTGTAGCTGAGTAATAGTTCATTATATATAGGTACCAAAAACAAGATGAAAAGACAATCCTCAGAATGGGAGAAAATAACTGCAAACTAAGCAACTGACAAAGGATTAACCTTCAAAATATACAAACAGCTTATGCAGCTCAATATCAAAAAACAAACAATCCAATCAAAAAAATGAGTGGAATACATAAGTAGACATTTCTCCAAAGAAAACATACAGATGGCCAACATTAAAAAACACTCTGTATCACTAATTATTAGAGAAATGCAGATCAAAACTACAATGAGGTACCACCTAACACCTCACACTAGACTGGCCATCAGCAAAAAATCTACAAACAATAAATGCTGGAAAGGCTGTAGAGAGAAGGGGACCCTCTTGCACTGTAGGTAGGAATGTAAATTGATGTAACTACTATGGAGAACAGTATGGAGGTTCCTTAAACTAAAAATAGAACTACCATATGACTCCTGGTAGTCCAGGAGTCCCTCTCCTAGACATATACCCAGAGAAAAACATGGTCCAAAAGGATACATACCAGGATATATGCTCCCCAATGTTCATTGCAGCACTGTTTCAGTTCAGTTGCTTAGTCATGTCTGAATCTTTGCCACCCCATGAGCTGTAGCACTCCAGGCCTCCCTGTACATCACCAACTCCCAGACTTCACCCAAACCCATGTACATTGAGTTGGTGATGCCATACAATCATCTCATTCTCTGTCGTCCCCTTCTCCTCCTGCCTTCAACCTTTCCCAGCATCAGGGTCTTTTCAGATGTGTTAGCTCTTCACATCAGGTGGCCAAAGTATTGGAGTTTCAGCCTCAACATCAGTCCTTCCAATGAACATCCAGGACTGATCTCCTTCAGGATAGACTGGTTGGATCTCCTTGCAGTCCAAGGGACTCTCAAGAGTCTTCTCCAACACCACAGTTCAAAAGCTTCAATTCTCTGGTGCTCAGCTTTCTTTATAGTCCAATACTCACATCCATACATGACCACTGGAAAAACCATAGCCTTGACTAAACGGATCTTTGTTAGCAAAGTAATGTCTCTGCTTTTTAAATGTTGTCTAGGTTGGTCACAATTTTCCTTCCAAGGAGTAAGTGTCTTAATTTCATGGCTGCAGTCACCATCTGCGGTGATTTTGGAGCCCAGATAAATAAAGTCAGCCACTGTTTCCACTGTTTCCCCATCTATTTCCCAAGAAGGGATGGGACCGGATGCCATGATCTTAGTTTTCTGAATGTTGAGCTTTAAGTCAACTTTCTCACTCTCCTCTTTCACTTTCGTCAACATGTTCTTTAGTTTTTCTTCACTTTCTGCCATAAGGGTGGTGTCATCTGCACATCTGAAGTTATTCAAATTTCTCCCGGCAATCTTGATTCCAGCTTGTGCTTCATCCAGCCCAGTCTTTCTCATGATGTACTCTGCATATAAGTTAAATAGGCACAGTGACAATATACAGCCTTTCCTATTTGGAACCAGTCTGTTGTTCCATGTCCAGTTCTAACTGTTGCTTCCTGACCTGCATACAGGTTTCTCAAGAGGCAGGTCAGGTGGTCTGGTATTCCATCTCTTTCAGAATTTTCCACAGTTTATTGTAATCCACACAGTCAAAGCCTTTGGCATAGTCAATAAAGCAGAAATAGATGTTTTTCTGGAACTCTCTTGTTTTTCAATGATCCTGCAGATGTTGGCAATTTGATCTCTGGTCCTTCTGGCTTTTCTAAAACCAGCTTGAACATGTGGAAGTTCATGGTTCATGTATTGCTGAAGCCTGGCTTGGAGAACTTTGAACATTACTTTACTAGCGTGTGAGTGAGTGCATTTGTGAAGTAGTTTGAGCATTCTTTATCATTGCCTTTCTTAGGGATTGGAATGAAAACTGACCTTTTCCAGTCCTGTGGCCACTGCTGAGTTTTCCAAATTTGCTGACAGTATGTCAGCAGCACTGTTTACAGCAGCTAACATGTGAAAGCAACCTAAGCAACCATTGACAGGAATGGACAAAGAAGAGGTGGTACATACATACAATGGACTATTACAGGGCCAATAAAAATGAATGAAATAGTGCCATTTGCCACAACATGGGTGGACCTAGAAGTTGTCAGGCTGAATGAAGTAAGTCATAGAAGGAGAAATATTGTAAAACATCCCTTATAGGTGGAATCTAAAAAGAAATTATACAAATGAATGTATTTATGTAACAGAAATGTACTGACAGAGAAGAGAATGAAATTATGGTTGTCAGGAGGAAGAAGGGGGAAGAGATAGTTAGGGAGTTTGGGATCAAATGTACACTCTTCTATATTTAAAGTGGGTAACCAACAAGAACCTACTGTATAGCACAGGGAACTCTGCTCAGTTATGTGGTAGCCAAGATGGGGGGTGGGGAAGGGGTTTGCAGGAGAATGAATACACATATATGTATGGCTGAGTGCCTTTGCTGTCCACCTGAAACTATCACAACATTGTTAATCATCTATGTGTTCATGCTAAGTCACTTCAGTCATGTCCAACTCTTTACAACCCTATGGACCATAGCCCATCAGGCTCCTCAGTCCATGGGATATCGCAGGCAAGAATACTGGAGTTGGATGCCATTCCCTTCTCCAGGGATCAAACCCAGGTTTCCTGCATTGTAGGCAGATTCTTTACCATCTGAGCCACCAGGGAAGCCCAATCATTTAGAATCCAATAAAAATTATTTTATTACTTTTATTTATAATTAAAAATTAATTATTTTATAATTAGTTTATTTTATTATTATTTATTATTATGCCCCAATATTAATAGTAGCAAATATTTATAATAGCCAGGACATGGAAGCAATCTAAACACCCATCAACAAATGAATGGTTAAAATTATATTTCAAATTTTATATGAAGACATCCTTTAAACACTATGTAATGTTGTATATATTCTAAGCTCTTGTGAATACAGTGAGTCATGTTAATATTAGTCACATGTTAAATTAATCACACAGCTGGAGATGAGATAACACTGTGAACTCAAGGTAAGAAAGAGAAGGAATCTATCCCCAGACACTGGATTCCCCCTGCTTAGCTCCTCAAGTAATTAGTGATGCCCAAGAGACGAGCAGTGTAGTGAAGGGGACTTTGCATACCTGCAAGATCACTAAAAGCCAGAGCTTATTCAGACAGAATTGGAACCATCTGAACCACAGAGTAGGGATCTGTTTCTAATCCCATTGCCCATCCATATAACAATATAAAATTTAGCTAAAGCAACCTATTAGAATAGACAATAACATGTATTTACAGTGGCTGATTTTCTGAATGTGCAATCCTGGTTTAACTACCAAAATCCAGTGCACAATAAATCAAGAATCTACATTCAATTTCTTCCTTCTAGATTTTAAAAATAATTGTTCTAGTTAATTCATAGAGCAAATGCAAATCAAACTCTTAAATCTGTTGAGACATTACTGAATTATGCCTGGAAGCCCTAGATGCTCACACAGGCTCCTTGTAAGCACCTCAGACTCTCATACAATAGACTGGAGAATTCAACTTTACCTGAATAGACTCCTAAATACCAGTTCAGATCAAGCATCACAAATATCTCTTCTTTTCCATATACCCCAAAATACAGGGCACTTTGTAACTTTGCCCTGTGGAACAGGAAAGAAAAAAATATTATGCTTCAGACAGAATGTATTCAAATACAAAAACAAAACAAAACAAAACTCAATTTGGGAAATGTGTTTTATGCTAGAAAAATGGCTCCCAGTTCACAAGGCTCTGTATCCATCTACCTTATAAAGATTCAATTTGAATCACAACCTTCAGCTCTCAAAATTATCTATGAGGAAGCTGCTGAGGGTCAGACATGGGGAGACACAACGGGAGGGTCACTCTCCACCAGCAGGAACTTTATTTTTCCTCAGGGAAACTATGTGAGGGTCAGAAGAGGAGGCTGAACTAGCCCCATCTCTCCCCCTGACTGTGGGAAAGTGAGGCTCCATGTAGATTTCACAGCACTTTGGGTCAGACCAGGAATCACTCACCAGTACGCAAGCCACCAGTCCTGCAGGGTATAGGCGACCTGGAGCAGGAAACACAGTCACTCAGACGCTGACGTCACTGAGCCTCACCCCCCCACCCACCCACCGCTCACAGGATGGGGGAGGGGAAGGCTCCAGGACACGGAGGCTCAGGTCTCCATCAAGCCCCACAACCCAGATGGCCACAGGACAGGGGAGGGCATCTTACATGTTAATATCTTTAAAAGATATTCTTTTTTTCCCTGGAAGTTCTCTATCATGTACACAACACCAATAAGCTTCACTTATTTTGCTCCCCACAGATAATGTATTTCAAAGCAAACCCAAGTGAACTGCAAAATGCAGTAATAATAGTGCAGATGTTTTGATTTTTCCAAGAAAAAAACATTTGACAGGTACTGTGATGGTCAGCTGTCTGTGTCAGCTTGGGCAGGCCAGTGTCCAATGATTCAACCAAATACTCGTCTAGATGTTGCCGTGAAGGTATTTTGTGGGTGTGGTTCACATCCATCATCAGAACTTCAGCAGAGGAGATCATACTCAACACTGTGGTGGCCTCATCCAGTCAGTCAAAGGCCCTAAGAGCAAAACCTGAGGCTTCTTGGAGGAAGAAGAAATTCTGCCTCAAGACAGCAGGGTCCGCTCCTGCCTGAAGTTCCAGCCTTCAGGTCTGCCTCTCTGATTTCACATCCACCCAGCTAGATCCCACAACTGCATAAGCCAGTCCTTTGAGATAAATATCTGCATATACATATTAAAAATAATGGTAACATAAATACAGTATAAATATGTAAATACCAAGCTGGTGGCACACACCAAAATAAATGTCCTTATTTACCTGAGCTGCGATGTTCACTAGAATAAGGAAAATGATGATAAACCATTGAGCACTGGCTGTGATGTAATTGTTGTAGGTCTTAATACCAACTTTTCCTTCCAAACGGTCCTCTAGAGGAAGTGTGACCTCTATATTCTCAGCCTGGGAGACGAAAATGGCAGAGAGAGACAAAATTTTAAATAAGGAATCCTCAAATGTGAAAAGTTCAATGAAGCCTTCCACAGCAAAGCTGTGGGGAGACAGACACATCTCATACACTAGTAGGAGTGCAAGATGGTCCATCTCCTATGGAGAGGAGTGTGGGAATATCTGGTCAAACCATGTGTGCATTTATCCTTGGACCCAGCCATCCCACTCCTAAGAATCTGTTAGAAATAAGAAAGTATCATTTGTACAAGGTCATTCAGTGTATGGTGGCTTTGCTTAAAGTCACTCACGACTCCCAGCAGAAGCTTGTTCCAAAATAATACACAAAATGATATGAAGCTTAAGTATCCTTATAGATAATTTGTGTCACTCAATCATAGAAACATGAAACATACAGCATACTTGTGGTTCAAAATACTAGCTAAATACAGTAAACTGAGATCACAGAGTGAATTTGAGTAAAATGGGTTTGGATAGTAAGAGACAAGCATATAATCTGAATCTATTTGATTCCCAAATTTCAGAGAGTGATTCCTGAGTTAAGAAACTGAGGATTTAATCCAAATGCTTATCAGAATCATTCAGAGTTTAGATACTGAAGAATACCTATGTATGTTTTTAAGGGAGATCTAGTGCATTTCCTCATTTCTGTCTGAAGGACTTGGAATGCATTATAGAGTCACAGGAGACCAGGATGTCCTCAGCTCTGTCCTGACCACTGGGATTCAAGGTGGATTAGACATGGTTCTCAGTCTTAAAGGATAAGAAAGGAAGATAGGAACTAAGTCCAAAGTCTGCTGTTGGTCAGGTTCTTTGCACATGCTACCTCTGATCCATCATAAACCATCTGATAATGAGGCAAAATACTACCATCAGTCACCTGCAGTGCTAGAACATTCCAACATATAGGAAAAGTAGCTGATTTAATGTGGCAACATCAGGACTCAGTCTAAGGGGGTCTTCACATTAAGCCTATGGATGCATAAGGGAAACTGGGGGCCACCACAGTGAGTAGGATGTAACTATGGTAAGTGAAAGAGTTCACAGATCATTGTGAGTCACATATACCCAGGAAGTCATAGCAGTGCATCCACTCCTGGTCTCCATAAGATCCTCCATCCTACACCCAAAGGGGAACCACAAGCAGGCTTGCTCCCTTCATGCTCTTCTAACTCTACCAGTTCCATGGAACAGGGCCTTGGAATCTTAGGGTCTACTTTAGGACCAATGAAGATGTCACAAGTGGAACAGACTGAAGGTCCATGAGTCTACCAAGAGCAGACATACAGCAGCATGTTGAGGGATAAGAAACTCACATCTTGGAGCTCTGGGGCAGCACCTCTCATCAAGGGTCTGGACTGATTCTTCAGGGCAGAAGATTCCAGATCTGGAGATGGTTCTTCCTCATTCCTCTTTAAAAGGAAATCAAAATCTACCCCAGATTTCAGGAGCTCAATATAAGTCCCACATTGTACTATTTTGCCCTAAAATAAAGAATTTGAGAGGAATATATTTGCATTAGATAATAGTAACATAATCTGAACACTAATCAACTAAAGTTAACTGGTCATAAATTATGATTTTCCTAAGAAAATGATCCTTGGGTCTGACATTGTGGTTGACAAATCTAATGCAGTTCAACTCTACACAGAACAGAACATTTTATTCTCTGCTAAACCCTGTATTAGGTTCTGAGGAATATGAAAGAAATGTGTGGTCGTGTGTTAAGAATGGAGGCCACTGACATAACTACCGTCAGCACTTAGGGAAGCAAGAAGTACAGAGGTTGGTAGAAGGATCAGCTCAGTCTTTTTAGACATGGGAACTGAGAGACGCCTCATGTGAGAAGCAGAATTTTTTTAAAAATTAATTGGGGAGGATATTCCAGGAAAGAAAAATACTGACACAACTACATAGGTAACAGTCATTCATCAAAACTTCACTAACCACTGTCATTTTCATAGTATCTTATGCTTAGCTGGGACAGGACATGTAGGAACCAGCCCTGGACAGAGAACCCAGGAGCTGCATCTTCACAGTATTTTATAGCTTCCCCACAAATGCAGGAAGTTCCCAACTGAAAATTCAATATTCCACCTGTTGAAGCAACTAAACAAGGAAGCCATGAGATTGGGGTGGTGCTAATGCCTTGGCAGCCAGCAAACCAAAATCTAAGCCACAGTCAGTGCACCCAGATCCAAGAAAAAAACCTAGGAACAACCAACCACAAGCAGCCAACGAGGCTTCCCCAAATCAGGCCTCTGTTTACGCTACAGCCAATCTAATTATTTTCTTTGAACACATGTGACCCATCCTTGCACAGTTTCCCTCCCTTACAAAGTCATATAAAATAATTTGCAGATATTTTCACAATTTTCTCACCCCATGAAACAAGACTCGGCTGACTTAATCAGTGGCAAACAAAATATTATAAAAAATCCTAAAATTAAAAATTCATAAAATGAGAGCAGCTCTGGTTAAGACAAGTCAAGTGGAAAAAGATGACCCAGGACCCTCGCTGGACCCTCTCTCACCCTATCCCCTGAGGTGACCCCTGGAAGAAACTCAGTGAAGACTTTGGGTACCATCTGACACCGCAGAACTGGAAAATTGTTCACTATATATTGTGTTATTTCACTTGGGAGGCAAAATTCATGTACCTTTTAAATGAAATTACCACTTTCCACTTTACATCTGTAAGATGCACAAGGAAATGACTAGTGAGTACAAAGGTTGCTACTGTACTCTGCAAGCAAGTACTGACAATTTCAAAAGGACAGCCATCCTCTCCCTTCTGTAAATGGGACCAGATAAATAGTAAGGAATCTTTTAAAACCCACATCAGACCACATCACTCCTCTGCTCTGGACTGTCCAACACTTCCATCCCACTTCCACCCACGGTCCACTGCTCAGAGACCAGCTCCCTCCACATCCCACTGCTCACTCTCCCCAGACACACTGGTCTTCCTGTCATTCCTCCAACCTGCTGGGTCAGCTCCTTCCTTAGGACCCCCTGCCTCAGACCCGCCTACGAAAGGGGATTGCATGGCCCCCACCTTCATGTCACTCAGGCCACGTGAGGCACCAGCTCTTTAAGCAGGCAGCCAGGATGTCAGCTCCACCCCTCTCTCTTTGTCACATTTGTCCCCATAAGAACAGGAGCCCCATAAAGCAGAGGTTTATTGTCCTGCTGCACAGGCTCCCACACATATCAGGCGTGGAAAGAGACAGTGAGACCAGCAACTGGGGACACCAGCAGAGTGGGCGTCTCTGACCTGGGTGCTCAGATACCCAGCCTCACTTCTGGTGTTAATGGAAGATGCTCTTTAGCAAACTGTATGACAATCCCGCAGATACAAACAGGTCTTAGTATCTCTAATTTGCAAATAATATACTTTGACTTAAATCCTGGAAGAGGAAAACAAAAAGTTCTGTATAAAATAGCATCATTATCCTTAACAAATTTCACAGGAACAGTGATGACTCAGTAACCCTGTGGTAGCACTTTTATACACTTTAGGGTTTATGTGGCTTAGAGAATAGTAGTGACATTTCTACAGGTCTTTGGATTCATCATCAAAGGCATGAACACCACCTTTGAGAAGAAGAAGCTGTAAAACTGAGGGAGGAGAAGGTGTTTACCATGAACCCAAGGAGAGAGTGACCTGCTGAGAGGCCTGGCTTTCAGCACACCTGAGTGCTAGCAAGCTCCATAGGCGTCTAGAAATTACTTACACCTTTCAATATCATAATCCAACTTGCAGCTTTTAGGTATTGCCACTGATGAGTCACTAAGATTGTGATCTTCTCCCTCAAGGCTTGACAGATACACCTACAAATGTAAAATGTACAGTATACACAAGCATATTAATGGGGCTGCTCCAAATTGGAAATATATTTTGTAAACATGAAACAAAGACAACACAGCAAAGATCTGTAGTTTAAATACCAAATCAATAATACAAATTGAATAAACATAAATCAATTAATCTGACTAGGTCCTCACAGTCATCAGCAGCAAACTTTAAAGAACAGTTACACTAAAAAATTCTAAAAAGCAATCTTGTGAAGGCACTAACAGCTAAGGCTTTTTTGCCTAAAACTCAGCTTAACCCATTTATATGTTTCATAAAGAAAAACAACTAATACTGAAATTCCTAAACATGACTGAACTAAAACACTTTTATCTCTATGCAGGAAGGGAAAAGAGGAATCTATGTCATATGAAAATGTGTACATTTTTCTTAGGCAGTTTTCTAGGTGATTACTCATGATTAATGATATACATATTGCAACAAAAAAAAAAGATTCTTGGTAACTTTTGCCAGAGTGCATTTTCTAGACACTTCTTTCAAAATAGTACTAGACAGAAAATTAATGCCAGTGTGGCTTCCATCAGTCTCTACAACATTCCCAGTCCCATTCAGGAAGCAAGCCTTTTTTCACTAGGACTGAACACCTTCCAAACATGAAAATGAAAGAATGGAATCCAAATTACAGCAGGAATCTTCCAACGGCAACTTTAATTTCTTTTCTACAATAAAAAACTGCTGCTGCATTTTAAAGGCAGACCCCCAGGAAGTGGTGCCAGTCCCATCCAGGAAGTAATTTTTTTTTTACTTGCACTGAAAACTTTCTGAATGTGAAAATGAAAGATGAGAGTCCAAACAGTCCCAATCAGAGTGAAAAATCAGCCAAGGCTCAAAGGATAAACAATTTTCTTAGCCAAGACCTCCTCAGAATTCAAACCTCAGTGTTTTTTGTTTTTTTTTTTTCATAGTAACCCCTCAGACTGCTCCTACATTTTAAAGGCAGACCCCTAGGAACTCAGCCCCAGTCTCACCCCAGAAGGTCTATAGTCCCTCCAAGAAAGCGAGTGGGTGGGTCCAGGGCTCCAGTGACCACGGGCAGGGCTCCAGGCAGGTACTCTGGGAGCCTGAGCCCCTCGCAGAGCAAATCTCAGGGACCTGGGCCAGAGCTCAGCCTGTGAGTGAGTCAGACGGAGAGTCTGGAGGCAGCAGACTGCATCTCAGTCCCTCTCATGAGCCTGACGACATCAGACAAGTGACTAAACTTCAGACGCTTTTTAGGGGACTTCCCAGGTGATACAGCAGTTGGGGATCCATGTGCCAATGAAGGGGACACAGGTTAGACCCCTGGCAGCCAGGTAGGGGGACTAAGATCCCACAAGCCTCAGAGTGTCTGAGCCTGTGCATCACAGCTGGAGAGGTTATATGTTGCAACGGAAGATCCCACATGAAGCAAGAAGATCCTGTGTGCTGCAACTAGGATCCGATACAGTCAAATAAAACATAAAAATTAATTAATTAAATATAATGCTATTTCTCCAAACCACTCTACTTTCCAAGTTTTTAGAGTAAAGATTTCCAAGTCATGCCATGAAAATGATTGATTCAACAGTCAGTTGTTTAATTGTTATTCCTATGTAAGGGCTGGGTTAATCTTATAATAACCATATGAAAGTGAAGTCGCTCAGTCATGTCCAACTCTTTGCGACCCCATGGACTCTAGCCTACCAGGATCCTCCATCCATGGGATTTTCCAGGCAAGAGTACTGGAGTGAGTTGCCATTTCCTTCTCCAGGGGATCTTCCTGACCCAGGGATCGAACCTAGGTCTCCCACATTGTAGGCAGACACTTAACCGTCTGAGCCACCAGGGAAGTCTAGAAGTATGGAAGTGCACCAGTCTGGAAGTACACCAGGATGTATAATACCATGTATAATTCTATAATGGGCTGTGTTAAGAGTAGACACATCCAATGGTACAGGGATGTGTACCAAAAAGACAAAAAAGACAGAGTCCCCACCTTCATTCATTCGGTCAGCAGAGGTTTGTTGAGGAGCCAGGCACTGTCCTACATGCCAAGGATACACCCGCTGGTCAAGACAGGAGACAACACTATATACCATGTAAATGGGGACATACAGAACGAGTATAGAAAATGCCCTTTTAGGCCATGACATGTGCTGTGAAGGAAAAGAAAGGGGGGCTGCTGTCTTAGATGGGGAGGCATGGGAGCCCTGAGACTCTCTGGGGAAACATCCATGGAAGAAGACACAGCAGGTGCAGGGGTCCTGAGACTGAACAAGCCAGGCTGAGGTATCTTCCTGCATTCACAGCTTATGGGGGTTCAGGGGGTACTCATAAATGGTCAAGTGCAGCCCTCTGTGGGCTGTGGGAAGACAGGGAGCAGAGGTACCCCCTGGAGGAGCAGGGGGAATGGCAGGGCCCATTTTTCACCTTCTTTCTGTGCCCTGGCACACTGTTCCCTGGCTTGGGGGCAGAGGGACCAGAATATACAGACAGACAGGGGTGAGAAAAAAGTGAAAATGAAAGTGTCAGTTGCTGAGTCATGTCTGACTCTTTGCGACCCCATGGACTGTAGCCATCCAGGTTCCTCTGTCCATGGGATTCTCCAGGCAAGAATGCTGGAGTGGGCAGCCATTCCCTTCTCCAGGGAGAGGTGAGAAAGGGCTCCCACAAAGCCAGCACAGCTGGAAAGGCTGATGGGAACAGACGGCAAAGAAGCCTGTTCTCTGAGGACCTGGCGCTGCATCCTGAACATGGTTGGTGGGGGGTCTGTGAAGGGCTGGAGCAGGAAGGTGAGCTGTGTAAACAGCAATGTGGGAGTCTGATCAGGACAGACCCAAAGACCTGATGACACAGGATGCAGGGGTCTGGTGAGGTGGGGCTGAAACATGTTAAAATCCAAGCGAGACACAGGTAACACTGCATCAGTTTCCCTAAGGCGACTAACCTTCTGTAGGTGATAGAACCCACATAATGTCTGCAACATATAGGTGTAAATTCACAGAACCTTATTAAACTTGGATGTATATTCACAACTGAAAGAAACTGTTAACAGCAAACAGAGTGTGATTCATTCACTTTTAATACAAAACACTCCCCATTACTAATACAACATACTCCCTGGCAAGCTGCAGTTCATGGGGTCGCAAAGAATTGGACATGGCTGAGCGACTGAACAATAACCCCATTACTAAGATTCGACATGTCACCATCACTCATAGCATATTATTCCATCCAACTTTCTAACTAGAGAACATTCTCCCCTTGCTACTGAGTGATTTCATAAACTGCCTTCGTGCTAAGTTTCCCTAGAGAATGTGGCTGTGATTAGCAAGCAATAATCTAAACAAGGTTGCTTCCATCAAATGTACATCCAGAGTCATTAAACCCAAAATGTTTAAGAAAACTTTATAAATACTTCCTGTGTTCGAAAAAGAACTTGGGAGAACTACTGTGATCAGCACACTGTTCTCAGCAAACAGAATGCCTCCCTCTCCCCTCCCCGTGACACAGATGCAATGGCCAGCAGAAACTTTTCAGGAAATGATGGAGAACTTGTGCAGCCTCACATAAGATGGGGTGACAGATATTTGTAGGTTCAGGTCAGGGTCCTGGGAAGAGGGAGCCTAAGCTATTCATGATGCCAGAAGGGTGGGGGCGGGTAATCCCTGTCACAGCACTAGCGCCAGTCACTGAACTCATGACAAGTCACAAGGCACTTCTCTAAGGGAAAATTCATCCAGTCAGGATCAAGAGAGGGTGAGAAAGGGTGGCCAGATCAGAGAGCTGGAGGCCATGCTATGTGTCAGCTCCTCTGCTACCTCGGGTTCTGAAAGATTCGATTCTACTATGCAGGTTTTTTTTTCCTTTTAATTGTGGTAAAATATGTTGTTGATGTTGTTCAGTCCCTAAGTTATTGCTGACTCTTTGCGACCCCATAGACTGTAGCCCACCCAACTCCTCTGTCCATGGGATTCTCCAAGCAAGAATACTTGAGTGGGCTGCCATTTCCTTCACCAGGGGATCTTCCCAACCCAGGAATCCAACCTGCATCTCCCGCTGGGCAGGTGGATTCTTTACCACTGAGCTACCAAGTAAACCCCGTGGTAAAATACACCTGACATGAAATTTACCATTTCTGCCATTTTAAGCATACAGTTCAGTGGTGCTAAGGACATTCACACTGTTGTGCAGCTATCACCAATATCCATCTCCACAACTCTTTCATCAGTCCAGCACTAAGCATGTCTTTCAGACGGGCAGGTTCCATCAAAGTCTGACAACCCCTGTTCAGTGGATGTGGAATCCCAGCTCCTCGTGTCCAGAGGTCAGAGCTCCTCACACATCTGCTGACTCTGCTTAAGTTTCTACTTTGTTATTCTGGACCTGCTGTAAATCAGTCCTGTCCCCTCGAAATTCACTTGTTGACATCTTAGCCATTAGTACCTTAGAATTTCATGAAGGGACTTTAAAGGAGTAATTGTTACCCTTAATCACTCCGGGCCTAATCTAATCTGACTGGTGTGCTTAGACGACGAGGAGACCAAGACATAAGGGCAGAGACACAAGCTTGGAAATCAGTGAGGTTAGAACACACCCCCCATCACCCACAGATATAAACTCAAAATGACTTAGCGACTTAAACTTAAAACATGACACCATAAAACTCCTAGAAGAGAACACAGGTAAAATATTCTCTGACATAGATAATATCTACGCTTTCTTAGGTTAGTCTCCCAAGGCAATAGAAATAAAGCAAAATAAACAAATGGGACCTAATCAAATGTACAAGCTTTTGCACAGCAAAGAAAACCATCAAAAAACAAAAAGATAACATACGGAATGGGAGAAAATACTTCCAAATGATGCAACTGACAAGGGGGTAATCTGCAAAATGCAAACATTTCATACAATTCAATAACAAAAACAAAACAAACAACCCAATTGAAAAATTAGCAGAAGAGCTAAATAGACATTTCTCCAAAGGATATATATATATAGATAGATGGCCAATAGGCACATGAAAAGATGTTCAACATTATGAATTATTAGAGAAATGCAAATCAAAACTACAGTGATGTACCACTTCATACCAGTCAGAATGGCCATCATTAAAATAACAATGGCTAGAAAGGATACAAAGAAAATAAAGCTTTCCTACACTGTTGGTATGGAAATAGTTTGGAGGTTTCTCAGAAAATTAAAAATAGAATTACCTTATAATCTAGCAATCTCACTCCTGGGCATATATCCAGACAAAACCACAAAAAGACACATGTACCCCTATGCTCGTAAAAGCACTATTCACAACACCCAAGACATGGGAATAACCTAAATGTCAACTGACAGGTGAATGGATAAAAAAAGCAGGAACGAACGCCATTTTCAGAAACATGGTTGGACCTGGAGATTAACATACTAAGTGAAGTAAGTCAGAAAGAGAAAGACAAATATCATATGATATCACTCATATGTGGAATATAAAATATTGCAAAAATGAAACTATCTACAAAACAAAAATGGATTTACAGACCTAGAGAACAGACTCTGATGTAAAATAAATTATTTTTACTTTACTAAGTATTTTCAAACCTACAGAGAAATAAGCATAAACCAAGGGTCTTTCCAGTCAGTACTGAAAACTTTGCTTCTCACGTGCCTTAAAAAAAATGATGGAGGATTGACAGATTAAGGGATAAAGAAGCTGTGGTACATATATACAATGGAATACTACTAAGCCATAAAAAAGAATGCATTTGAGTCAGTTCTAATGAGATGGATGAACCTAGAGCCTATTATGCAGAGTGAAGTAAGTCAGAAAGAGAAATATAAATATCATATACTGACACATATATAGGGAATCTAAAAAGATGGTACTGATCAATTTATATTCAGGGCAGCAACAGATAAACAGACATATAGAAAAGACCTAAGGACATGGGGGTGAGGGAAGGAAGAAGAGGGTGAGATGTATGGAGAGAGTAGCAAGGAAACTGACATTACCAAGTGTAAAATAGACAGCAAATGGGAAATTGTTTTATGACTCAAGGAACTCAAACAGGGGCTCAGTAACGAAGGGTAAATGTGGTGGGAGATGGGAGGGAGGTTTGGGAGAGAGGGGACATGGATTAAGTATGGCTGATTCTTGTTGATATATGACAGGAAAACCACAAAACACTGTAAAGCAATTATCCTTCAATTAAAAATAAAAATTAAAAAAAAAAAAAAAAAAGGATGGTGGAAAAGAACTGTCAGCCAAGTACCAGGTTACCAAGTCCTGTTCTCTGACTTAAAAACCGTATATCATCTTTCTTATTCCTGGGGTCTTGATCCATCAACTGCAATTCGCAGGGGGAAATCTGCCACCTATCCCTCATTCCCTGAAGCATAGGCCTCACTGGTCTCCACACACTGGAACACCTGCTTTAATTGTCCTTTCTTGATCTAATCATGATGCAAGATTTCTCTAGGATGGATCTTCTGAGGAGGGAAGGGAGGGGAGGAAGGGGCATCAGGGCAGAGTGAGCTGAGTCTCCTGAAGCACAAAGACTTTCCTGAGCTCTCTTCCCTCATCTCTGTAGGGTTCCTGAAAGCAGAGATGATAGAAACACAGGAGCAAACTCACTGTTCAAACAAGTGCCTGCTGACTTCTACGTCCACTGCACTGAATGGATCATCCAGGAGGTAGATGTCTGCATCCTGATACACGGCTCTAGAAAACGTAGAAAGATGTCAGGAGAGGACACGTCACACTGCCTGGGTCTCATCTCTGAATCATGATGGTGTCCAATAACTCCATGTTCATTCCAAGAGTCCATGGAAAGAACCAAGACCCTGCTTCACACAGGCCCACCCAGTGAGCAGGGTCTGTGTGCTCACATCCACTAGGAGCCACAGAGGAGGAGGGGCAGGATGGCAACTGAAACGCCATTTACCTGGCGAGGCTGACCCGGGCTTTTTGTCCTTCACTCAGTGGGGTTCCTCTTTCTCCTATCACAGTTTGATCTCCATCCTCCAGAAGCTGTAAATCCTGTGTGGAGATAGAAAAGGGAAAGAGAATAAGATTTAAAATGTGTTCTCCTCTCCAAAGAAAACATAGAGATGACTAACAAACATGAAAAGATGCTCAACATCACTCATTATCAGAGAAATGCAAATCAAAACCTCAATGAGGTACCATTACACGCCAGTCAGGATGGCTGCTATCCAAAAGTCTACAAGCAATAAATGCTGGAGAGGGTGTGGAGAAAAGGGATCCCTCTTACACTGTTGGTGGGAATGCAAACTAGTACAGCCACTATGGAGAACAGTGTGGAGATTCCTTAAAAAACTGGAAATACAACTGCCATATGACCCAGCAATCCCACTCCTGGGCATACACACTGACGAAACCAGATCTGAAAGAGACACGTGTACCCCAGTGTTCATCGCAGCACTGTTTATAATAGCCAAGACATGGAAGCAACCTAGATGCCCATCAGCAGAGGAATAGATAAGGAAGCTGTGGTACATATACACAATGGAATATTACTCAGCCATTAAAAAGAATTTATTTGAATCAGTTCTAATGAGATGGATGAAACTGTAGCCCATTATACAGAGTGAAGTAAGCCAGAAAGATAAAGACCAATACAATATACTAATGCATATATATGGAATTTAAAAAGATGGTAATGATAACCTTATATGCAAGACAGAAAAAGAGTCACAAATGTACAAAACAGACTTTTGGACCCTGTGGGAGAAGGTGAGGGTGGGATGTTCTGAGAGAATAGCATTGAAACATATATATTATCAAGGGTGAAACAGATTACCAGCCCAGGTTGGATGCATGAGACAAGTGCTCAGGGCTGGTGCACTGGGAAGACCTAGAGGGATGGGATGGGGAGGGAGGTGGGAGGGTGGATCGGGATGGGGAATACATGTGGATCCTTGGCTGATTCATGTCAATGTATGGCAAAAAACCACTACAATATTGTAAAGTAATTAGCCTCCAATTAATAAAAATAAATGAAAAAAAATGTGTTCTCCTCTCATAGCTCAGTTGGTAAAGAATCCACCTGCAATCAGGAGACCCCAGTTCAATTTCTGGGTTGAGAAGATCCCCTGGAGAAGGGATAGGCTACCCACACCAGTATTCTTGGGCTTCCCTTGTGGCTCAGCTGGTAAAGAATCCCTTTGCAATGCAGGAAACCTGGGTTTGATCCCTAGGTTGGGACGATCCCCTGGAGAAGGGAAAGGCTACCCATTCCAGTATTCTGGCCTGGAGAATTCCATGGACTATATAGTCCATGGGGTTGCAAAGAGTCAGACATGAATGAGCGACTTTCACTTTCCTCTCATCCTAATTTTTTTATTTTTATTTTTTTAGCCAAAACATGTAGCTTGTGGGATCTTAGTTCTCTGACTAGGGATTGAACCCACAATCTCAGCCATGAAACCATGGAGCCCTAACCACTGAACCACCAGGGAATTCCCATCCTCCTAATCCTTTAGTACAAGTTCTTCATACAAGTATTTGATCAAAAGCAACGGGAATGTTTCATAGTGACTAAACTATAATCTTGAACAACAACAACAAAAACCTCTTTGGTTTCTCATTTGTTTTCATTCTGTAGTTTTTCACAGCATTTATGCATTTGACTGTTTTCACATTTATTGAAGATCAACCTATACACCAGGCATTATTCAGGGCAGGAAGAATTCAGCCACAAAGAAACAAAGTCCCAGAGTTTCTTTCCATGGTGGGAGATGGATGATATAAGAAATTAACCTGAGTGCAAGTACTGAGGACAGGAAGGAAAAGCAAGCCGGCTCAGGGGGATGGAGAGTGAAGGAGGGAAGTGAGTCCACAGTGGGGGGAGGGCTCTGCTCAGAGTGGGTGTGAGCAGATCTGGGGGAGGGGGGTGCTCAGGCGGACCTGGAGAGGCTGCTCCTCACAGAGGGAGGGGCAAGTGCAGGGGCCACGGGGAGATGCGCAAGGGGTTCAGAACAAGGAAGCAGGAGAGCTGAGTGAGAATGAGGGGAGTGAGGGCAGAGACAGAGCAGGAGGAGCCTGGGGTCACTCCCAGTAACAGGAGAAGGGGGAGAAGGGAGGACTGACCTGTTTTGAGGTTTTTTAAAGAATCACTTCTATGCTTTGTGGAAAACAGGCAGTAAAGGGGAATGGGTGAGGGTGACTGCAAGTGAGGAGGCAACTGGAATAATCCAGGAGAGAGATGATGGTGGTCAGCACCAGAGTGGGAGCAGCAGGAATGGAGCGAAAGGGTCACACTCCAGACACACTTGGAAGGTGGAGTCTGTAAGACCTGCTGACCAGATGGGAGCAGGCTGTAAGAGAAGAGGAGACTGTGGTGTCTGAGATGAGGAAGGGGAAGGGCAGGGCCTCCATTCACTGAGTTGGGGAAGACGGTGGATGTTGGTTTAGGAGACTTCACTTGTGGACAAGGTGAGATGATATCATAGTGATATCACGGTGCAGCTGGACATGCAAGTGTGAAGGTCTGTGCTAGAGACACAGGTGTGAAAGCTAGTGGCCAGGGTGGTGAAGGCACAGGACTTGTTTTATCAGGGAATGAGTGTGTCTTAAATTTCCAATTTTGCTGAACATAATATCAGCTTCCCACTTCCACAGAAGGAATAAGACCTGACTGGCGTCTTCACAGTGATACTTAAGACCAGTCATACAGTGACAGACAAGAAGTATACAAGGAAAAGGAGCAAGAAAAAAGCAGGCTGGACAGGAAAAACTAAAGGGAAACAGTGTACTCAAGGAACACGGAGCAGATCAGCTAAACCAAGTAGACGCTTGCCCATGGAAGCAGAAAATACTCAAAGTTAAGAAGGATATGAAGCTTTGATTTGAGATTTGGGGAATCTATAATAAGTTTTATTTGAATACTATTTAAGAAAAAAATAGACAAATCTGTTTATTTTCCCCAGAATACCTGGGGAAATAAAAAAAATGACAAGAACATCCCCAAAACCACAAGATAACAATCAAGTTTAAGTGACACAGTTATTATATTAGAAATTTTAGACTGACTGTAATGATCACTAGACAGATCCTGGCATACACAAGCAGCACTCATTTCTTTGTCTCTACTTTAGCAAATTTGGGGAGGAAGCAATGGCACACCGGGGTCTCCATGAAAAACAAATCCTTTGACCTCCTAAGTCTCACTTTCCTCTTCTACAGAATGTGCTTCAGAAACAAGAGTCACTAAATTCAAGGATGCTGTGAGAATCTAAAGTGTAGGAAAACCCTCCATAAATGGAAAAAAGGACAGGAATTGATAACTTGCTATTGGTGACTGATCACACTCCTAGTAAATAGAGAAACTGAGACTCAATCCCTGAGCCTGCTGACTCCTGGACCTTGGAGTTATCTCATCAGTCTGAATTGATATTCTCAATGTGATTACTTCGTATCTCCCTATTTTATTACAGAAAAGTTTTCAGCTCAATGAACTTAAAGGTTTACTTCAATTAGATCTAGTTTAATGTAATACAAAAAATTTCGCTTTTTTAAACTATTTTTTCCTCCAAGATTAGGCAGATGTGAGCATAGGGAGAACTGTAAGGAGAAATCTGTATAATATTTATATGCATTTAAGTATGGAAGAATGAAGAGAAAAAGGCTATGTCAGTAACAGTTGCTACCATTAACTGAAACCCAGACTTGTTTGCATTTCACAGGCGTGGCCTGTAGCCTTTAGGGTAATCCCACCCCTGCCCCATTTAATAAGAGGAGAAACTGAGGCAAACACCTGAAGTTACCATCTGGGACCATTTTTCTCTGAAGGCCAAACCTTTTCCACTACATGTGGGGTCTCTGTATCTTCAGGCCAAGACAACTCTGCTGCCGCTGCTGTTGCTTACTCACTTACGTGTCTGACTGTGCGATCACATGGACTGTAGCCTGCCAGGCTCCTCTGTGCATGAAGCTCTCCAGGCAAGAGTGCTGGAGGGGGTTGCCATGCCCTCCAGGGGATCATCCCGACCCAGGGATCCTGCATTGCAAGCAGATTACCACTGAGCCACCAAGGAAGCCCAAAATAACTCTAGACACCTCTACTATCTGTGACCGTCTTATGTCCATCCACCGACACATGGATTCCAAAAGGAGATAATCAGAGGCTCTCATAACTCATTAAATGGTTCCCAAGTGCTGCAAAGACCTTACTAACCTCTTGCTAATTGCTAATCAGTCATAGAGGGCATTTCAGAGCAGCAGCAAAACCTCTTGGAAGACTGCTGAGCCAGTGTCCTCATTTTGCTGTGGAAACCTCAGGCAGGTAACAGGACGTGTTCAAAGTGATAGCAGGCAAGTGACACAGCCGGGTCCAGGACTCCCCTCTCAGTCACTCCTCTGCCCTAGACCTCCCTTCCTGCCAAGGAGAGAATGGGCACGAGGGGCCCCAACTCTGTCCTAACCATGCACACAGGAGAGCAGTCCATCTTTGTAAATATTTGTCTCATCACATACAGAAGAATTGCTGTGCAGCTCAGTCTTGCAGGGCCCCTTCTCACAGAATCTGCTGCATGGATGCTCCAGGGTGAGGGAAGCCTCAGAACACAGTCCACATTACTGGTCCAGTCACGCCATGGGGTTGCAGCAGAGCATCACCCCCCAGGGAGAACGATGGTCCCTGAGGAAAATGCTGAATGGTAGCCACTACCCACAGCCGCTCTTCTCCAGAGATGCTCAAATGTGGGAGAGAAAGACAGGGCTGAGCTTCACCAGAAAGGCAAGGTCATGAGAGAAACCCTCACACCTGGCCTGGGTCTTTGGAGTCTGGTGTGGGCATCAGGAGCTGGAAATGATTAAGGTAAAGAGGAAATGCCTGAGATTTGTTTTTCCACATCCCACCTCCCACCTTCATCCATCACCTGCTTTTTAAAAAGTTCTTTCTTTTAAATGTCCTCAAGCCAGCACAGCACCGAGGACAAGCATGGAGTCTAGAGTTGTGCAGAAACAGATCTGAACTTGAGCTCCAAATGTTAAGGACAGCTGTTTCATCCCCAAGCTTCAGCTTTGCCAGCCAAAAATGAGGAATTTAACATCGAGGACACTCATAAAGAATAACTTACATACCTTCTTATGTGTGTATAGACACACGTGTGAGAGAGAGAAAATGATTTGCATGTAGACTCTGAATGGGAGCTGCTGTTCTGTTTACATTTGCTTCCCTCTTTTCTTACACAGTATTTGTAGTGTAGCATTAGTCGCTCAGTTGTGTCCAGCTCTTTTGACCCCTATGGACTATAAAAGGCCAGGCTCCTCTGTCCATGGAATTCTCCAGGCAAAAATACTGGAATGGGTTCCATTCCCTTCTCCAGAGATCTTTTGGACCCAGGGATTGAACCCGGGTCTCCCACACTGCAGGCAGATCCTTTACCATCTGAGCCACCCAGGAAGTCCATATATTTGCCCTTAAAATGTTTTTAAATTTTTGGTTGCACCTGTGGCATGTAGGATCTTAGCTTTTGATCAAAGATCGAACCTATGCCTCCTGCATAGGGAGCATGGAGTTTTAACCACTGGATCACCACATTATAAACACCATTTAATAAAAATCCAGCTCATGCCTGCTACCTTGATACTTTAACCAAAAAGAGTTAATTGTGAATTCATACTGGATCTTCTTCTGTGACTTTAATCCTTATTTTGCCGCATTTGTTACTGCAGGCATGCATAATGGCCTGCCTCAAGAAGATAGCCTGACCATGCCCACCTGTGAAGGGTTGTGAGGAAGTGAAACTAACATATCTCCCAGCATGTGGCTTGTTGCTTTATAAGATACTCAACAAGAATTAAATGATATTTTTACTTTGTTTCCTCACATCCAACCGTCTCTGATTCACAGAAGAACCTGGCATCTTCCCCTGACAAGCTGGCTATTTTGAGGTGCTAACCTGCCATCTCAGCTATTTGTAAGGTCTCCTCAGAGAATCATTTTGCCTTTTTGCATGTCTTTTTCTTGGGATGGTCTTGATCACTGTCTCCTGTACAAACCTGTCACAAACCTCTGTCCATAATTCTTTAGGCACTCTATCAGATCTAATCCCTTAAATCTATTTCTCACTTCCACTCTATAATCATAAGGGATTTGATTTAGGTCATACCTGAATGGCCTAGTGGTTTTCCCTTTCCTCAATTTAAGTCTGAATTTGGCAATAAGGAGTTCATGGTCTGAGCCACAGTCAGCTCCCAGTCTTGTTTTTGCTCACTGTATAGAGCTTCTCCATCTTTGGCTGCAAAGAATATAATAAATCTGAGTTTGGTGTTGACCATCTGGTGATGTCCATGTGTAGAGTCTTCTTTTGTGTTGTTGGAAGAGGGTGTTGGCTATGACCAGTGTGTTCTCTTGGCAAAACTCTGTTAGCCTTTTTCCTGCCTCATTCCATACTCCAAGGCCAAATTTGCTTGTTATTCCAGGTGTCTCTTGACTTCCTACTTTTGCATTCTAGCCCTGAATAATGAAAAGGATGTCTTTTTTGGGTGTTAGTTCTAAAAGGTCTTGTAGGTCTTCACAGTACCATTCAACTTCAGTTTCTTCAGCATTACTGGTCAGGACATAGACTTGGATTACTGTGATATTGAATGGTTTGCCTTGGAAATGAACAGAGATCATTCTGTTGTTTTTGAGATTGCATCCAAATATTGCATTTCAGACTCTTTTGTTGACTATGATGGCTACTCCATTTCCTCTAAGGGATTCTTGCCCACAATAGTAGATACAATGGCCATCTGAGTTAAAGTCATCCATTTTAGTTCACTGATTCCTACAACATCAATCTTCACCCTTGCCATCTCCTGTTTGACCCCTTCCAATTTGTCTTGATTCATGGACCTAACATTCCAGGTTCCAATGCAGTATGGTTCTTTTCAGCACTGGACTTTACTTCCATCACCAGTCACATCCACAATTGGGTGTTGTTTTTGCTTTGGCTCTGTCTCTTCATTCTTTCTGGAGTTATTTCTCCACTGATCTCCAGTAGCATACTGGGCACCTACTGACCTGGGGAGTTCATCTTTCAGTGTCCTATCTTTTTGCCTTTTCATACTGTTCACGGGGTTCTCAAGGCAAGAATACTGAAGTCGCTTGCAAATCCCATCTCCAGTGGACCATGTTCTGTCAAAGAGCCAGACACAATTGGGTGACTGAACTGATACTGAACTTGCCATCTTCTCTGTCAGTGGCTTCCAAAATAAAGTCCCTTCCTTGTCTCAGCACCTCATCTCAGACTTATTGGCCTACAGTGCAGCGAGCAGAGTGAGCTTGGACTCAGTTCAGTTGATCAGTCATGTCCAACTCTTTGAGACCCCATGGACTACAGCATGCCAGGCTTCGTTGTCCATCACCAACTCCCAGAGCTTGCTCAAACTCATGTACATCAAGTCAGTGATGCCATCCTACCATCTCATCTTCAATTATTTCCTTCTCCTCTTGCCTTCAATCTTTCCCAGTATCAGGGTCTTTCCAATGAGTCAGTTCTTCGCATTAGATGGCACAGTATTGAAGCTTCAGCTTCAGCATCAATCCTTCCAATGAATATTTAGGACTGCTTTTATTTAGGACTGGTTGGATCTCCTTGCAGTTCAAGGGACTCTCAAGAGTCTTCTCCAACACCACAGTTCAAAAGCATCAATTCCTCGGCACTCAGCTTTCTTCATGGTCCAAATCTCACATCCATACGTGACTACTGGAAAAACCATAGCCTTTACAAGATGGACCTTTCTTGGCAAAGTAATGTCTCTGCTTTTTAATACACTGTCTAGGTTGGTCATAGCTTTTCTTCCAAGGAGCAAGCATTTTTAATTTCATGGCTTCAGTTACCATCTGCAGTGATTATGGAGTCCAAGAAAATAAAGTCTGTCACTGTTTCCATTGTTTCCCCATCTATTTGCCATGAAGTGTTGGGACTGGATGCCATGATCTTAGTTTTTTGAATGTTGAATTTTAAGCCAGCTTTTCCACTCTCCTCTTTCACCTTCATCAAGAGGCTCTTCAATTCCTCTTCACTTTCTGCCATAAGGGTGGTGTCATCTGCATATTTGAGGTTATTGATATTTCTCCCAAGAATCTTGATTCTAGCTTGTGCTACATGATATTATTACTGAGTCCACAGTATGAAAAGAGTGGACTCAGTAACAATATCATTTCCACAAAAGAACGATCTCCCATTGACAACAACCCAGGAGAAAGAAACAAGAGCATTAAACAAGCAATTCTGTTTTGTTCACATCATCACAAAATGCTACTCATCTGATACAATCTATGATGGTCAAGTCATTGTTCAAGCAAAATCACTATTGCTTCACAAAGCGAGTTTGGAGCCTTTAACACCTCACCTTTTAAACACCTTCCCAATCTTTTCCTCATAGTACAAAAAACACACCGCACTGAATAGGCCTGGGGAGGAGAAGCCCTTTAATGCTATTGTTTAGATTTTTATAACCCAAGAGAGTAACACAGTATTTATCAGTATTTACATTTTTCTTTTTTGCCAGGTTATATTGTTTTGTCAGGTAATTTCGTTTTCACCATTCATTCACTGATTTCATCTAAATTTTAGAGTTTCACCTTGCCATTTTCTGTGAACTGCAGAGTCTTTTCTGAAAACAATCTCTCCCCCAGTGAAACAATGCAGTATTAAGAAGAAATGTTAAAGCATTCTATTTTCTTTAAATAAAAATACTAGTCATAACCTAGTGGAAAGAAAAACCTGGAGACTGAAAGGGACTGAGGAGGTACCAGCCAAGTGCAGTGGGCAGACCTCATGTGGTGTCTGATTCAAACCAATGGTAACAGAGACTTCTCAGTGAGATAATTAGCAACAGGTAAACTAGAAGGTTGATAATATTGAGGAATTTGGGTTATTTTTCAGATGAAATAATATGTTTTCCAAAGGCTCTCCTAACTCTTAGAGAAAAACTAGTCAAATGTTTATATGTCAGTCACTCAGTGGTGTCTGACTCTTTGCAGCCCAATGGACTGTAGCTCACCAGGCAAGAATATTGGAGTGGATAATCATTCCCTTCTCCAGGGGATCTTCCAAGCCCAGGAATCGAACCCACATCTCCTGAATTGCAGGCAGGGTCTTTACCGTCTGAGCCACCAGGGAAACTTTGAAAGTGAAAGTGAAAGTCATTCCCTTGTGTCCGATTCTTTGCGCCCCATGGACTACAGAGTCCATGGAATTCTCCAGCCTAGAATACTGTAGTGGGTAGCCGTTCCCATCTCCAGGGGATCTTCCCAATCCAGGGATCGAACCCAGGTCTCCCACATTGCAGGCAGACTCTTTACCAGCTGAGTCGAAACCTTTACAGATGAACTAATCTGAGGTCTAGGATCTGCTCCAGAATAACCTGGGGTGGGGGTGGGGCTGGCAGAGGGCAGGGATGGAGATGCAGCAAGACTGACCACCAGCTGCTCCTGGTTGAAGCTGGAGAGTGGGTACATGAGGGTTCATTACACTGTGCACTCTAATTTTAGAAATTTTTGTAATTGTCCACTACGAAAATAAGTTAAAAGTGAATGAAACTTCACAAAGTGAAACAACTCCCTCCTCAACAAGGCATTCTGTAAATTCTTTATGACATCAGGATTGAAGGAGTAGCATATGTGCCTGCATACTTACTCAGAAGACCAGTGTAAACATTAAACAACATTGAACGATCTTTCAAACTTAAAAAAAAAAAAAAAAGGACTTTCAACAAACTTTACTGATTGTTTAAACCAAGTCTGTCATTTGAAATTCTAGTGCATACTTCTCAAAAGTCATTACTCACCTCTCCCAAAGCACAAGCCTTTATTACTTCTTCATATCGGTCTTTTTTATATTTCTTCCCAAATAAAATGTTACTCCTCACAGTTCCTGAGAACACCCAGGGCTGCTGAGAAACATACGCGATCCTCCCATGCACACAGACCTTCCCCTGGCTCCGGGGCAGCTCCCCCAGCACAGCGCGTAACAGTGACGACTGAAACAGATGGCAACACACACACATGAACAGGGTGCACTCAGGATGAAACACATCCCATAGCACAGCCAACCCCAGCCTGGTGCTTGATACACAATAGAGCCCTTGCATTTAGAACAGGATAAAGTACAGCCTTGGAAATTTGGACAAAAACAATTGAAAATAACACTACTGGTCAATGAAAAAGAATGGTTGATAAGGAATATTAATAAAATAGTATAACAATCTCCTCTGCCCAAGAGGAACCCCCAAATGAAGCACTACACTCAGCAAAAACTAAGAATGTTTAACATCTTTCACTAGCAGAGCAGCCCAGCAGGATGTGTATTTCATGTACCTGATGTTTAGTGCAGTTGTTCCTGCATCCAGGTATCCTTCACTTGACAAACACTTATTCTTAAAAAGCTTTGTATGAAGAATATATCCAAAGATGATTACTCAAAATAATTCTGAAATGAGTTATGTCTAAAGAGCAAAAGTCAATCATAGAGGAAATTATCACCCTCTCATGTACACATCCCACATTTAGGTTTCTGTATTTTGTTGTTTCATAACACAGGACAAGAAAGACAAGTGCACATGTCTTTCAAATCTCTTGTAACACACAGAAGTGACATCTGTGTCTACACCATCAGAGCGCTCACCACACTGGGCTGAAACAAACTGCCTATGTATCTGTCTCGCCCTGGAACCTGGTTGCCTCTGGACGGTAGAGACGTCGGGGTCTGGCTCACATCTGTGTGTTTAGATCCAGCACGTGGCTGAACATTCACTACACGTGCACTGAAAGGATCACAAGTCATATGAGGAAATGCTCAGAGCTTCCTGGAAGAGCCTTCACCATCTCCAGACTTCCTAGAGGGGCCACTGTGATGAAAAGAAGTCCCCACTCTCTCCAGCCAACCTAAACAGGTGTCACATCAATAATTTCATTCACTGAGACGTCCAAATTCCTGACAATGGTTCCCAACTGTGCAATGTGAAGCACCAAGAAAGAAAACACAGTGTGTGCTGATTAAGATTTATTTGGCCATGAAACCTTCTTGCAAAACTAATATTCCATGAAACAGTTTGAAAAATGCTGTTCTAGGTACACCCAATTCAAACTGTGTCACACACAGCTCTGGGATCAACTCTGAGAATTTAACAAGGGCAGTGGTGTCGCATCAAGCTGACAAAAGGCATCACAACTTACCTTTCCTGCACCCACAGGTCCAACCACAGCTAACAGTTCACCAGGTCTGGCAGTAAAGAAAAGGTCTTGTAGGGTTGGGGTCTCTGATGCCTGCAAATTAAAGTTTAAATATTAATAACACTTAATTTTAAAAATGTGCCTATTTCAATAAAGTAACATACATTACTTCAGAATGTAGAGAAAATTACATAATAGTCATTGATATGCTAATGTAATCCACATTTTTCTCCTTCCTATTTTAAGATAGTAAGTCCTGGAGGCCTTTTCATCCAATCATACATATCTCTTTAAGGGTTAACAAGGCTCATTCTTTTATCAGATTTCCATAAAGACATAGCTCTAGACACCAACAGAATTTTAGTAGTAGAAATGACAAGGCACCTGCCTGAAACATAAACTGAATAATGCACATAAGCTTATTAATATAATGCACTTAATAGAATATTCAGCTTGGGAGGTTATTAATCATTTATAAGTTTTCATCATGACCCTTGGTTTTAACTGTCTCATTAATCTTCACAGTTCAATTCAGTCACTCAGTCATGTCCAACTCTTTGCAACCCCATGGACTGCAGCATGCCAGGCTTCCCTGTCCATCACCAACTCCCAGAGCACACTCAAATTCATGTCCATGGAGTTGGTGACGCCATCCAACCAACTCATCCTTTGTCATCCCCTTCTTCTGCCTTCAATTTTTCCCAGCATCAGGGTCTTTTCCAATGAGTCAGTTCCTCACATCAGGTGGCCAAAATGTTGGAGCTTCAGCTTCAGCATCAGTCCTTCCAATGAATGTTCAGGACTGATTTCCTTTAAGATTGACAGGTTTGATCTCTTTGTTGTCCAAGGGACTCTCAAGAGTCTTCTCCAGCATCCCAGTTCAAAAGCATCAATCAATCCCCACAAGGTGGCAGCATAAGTTCCTGGCATGCCTGGCCCTTTAATTAAATAATTTGAAATCTCCACTAATCTCTCCACTTTCATTTGATAAAGAATGAACCTCAGTAGTGCTCAGCAAGCAAAGGGGTATTTTATGTAATAGTCATTCTTGGAAAATTAAGTGTTATTAATAATGGTCCAAGCTCTAATTTTTAACAAGACCTCTAATTTAATACCACCAACAACAACAAAAAATGGGGAATAAGTTAATTATAACATGAATCAAAATGATAAAGCCTCAATTTTTTATGTATTTATATGCATTACCTGTCTTGGCTCAGTGGAGGATAATACAGTACTTCTACTGAAGAAAAACAGGCAGCTTATTTACTGCCTGAGCCACCAGGGAAGCCCAAAGGAACAAAATAACAAAAACCCTGGAGACACGCACGCTAGGCCCCCACCCAGGGCAGCGGAGGACAGACAATCACTGTGCAATAACAAGTCACATTCCTGAGAGACTTACAGCTTCATGTATGTTTTACATATCAAAGTGTTAAGAAAATTGTCAATAGCTGCCAATGCTTTAAAAAAAAAGAAAACTGAGTGGTGACACTTGACTCTAAAGTGCCCCAAAGACTAAAAACACGACTCTGAATTTAAAAGTCTGAATATTCCTCAAAATGAAATTTTTCTCTGGAAATAAATGAACTAATTATAAAGCATTCACATGCTAAAAAATGACAATTATTTTGCATGGTCAAAAACACTAGCCCCAGATTTTAAAGAAAGTATAAATCTACCAATAAGAAGCTAGATGTTAAAACATAAGAAATATTTTTTAACCTTCTCCACTTCTTCTTTTCTGCCGCATAGGGCTCCTATTTTATTACTTATCACTCAGTTATGACTGAAAAACAATGAGTCACATACCAGCGTCAGCTCCCTGTCACCACCCCTCAGTTTCCCAGGGTCAGACACTGAGTTCCCTCCCTGTTCAGGCTTCAGGATCGGGCACTACTCCGCCGAGACCAGTAGAGGGCAGTACGCAGCAGCACAGACGTGCTGGGTCCAGTCAACTCCGTTATCCAGACTCAGGGGATGTGGACTCAACAAGGATCATTAGCTGAGCCCCTACTCTGTACCAGACATAGTTGAAAACCCCTGCCCCATGAAGAAATGGAGGCTCCCACAGGACCATTTATTTTACAGCTTCAAGATTGAGACCAAGTTCCATCATTTCATGAATGAGACCTGGGTCCCTGAGACCTGCCCCCACCTGCCCATCTGCCCACCTGGTGTCTAGTGGAACAGGTTACAGAGTTCATGTCCATATCCTGCCTCCCAACCCAGCAGGGGCTACATTCAGATTCAGCTTCTCTTTAAAACCCCAATGTCTGTGTCCCCCGTCCAAGGGATCTCTCACCCAAGACCTAACCTGACAGCCCTAATTACTAATGACCCCAGCAAGGGGCACAGTCCTTCCATAGGCAAGGCCAGGACAACGTAATAGGCTGTTCTGTTTTTACAATGCAAGTTGCAAAAAAGTCTGAGGACATGTTATTAAGTTCTTGAAAGAAAAACAAAATAGCTCATTTTAAAATGCTGCATAATTTGGTACAAAAGAAATTTGGTACTGGTTCATTAAAAAATATGTGTTAGCATTCACATGGAGTGGTATTTATAATGGAATTTTAGTGCTTTCCATAAATGCTTCAAGAGTACTGTGATGAGAAATATGAAACAGGAGGTAAATCTACTGGAATAAGGTATGAGAAACTCTCAGGATAGGTCAGGCACCTTCTGTGAGTTTCCATGTGCAAATGGTACAGGGATGTGGTTTTATATATTTGGGAACATATTATACTACTGTGTTATTGATGGAGATGGCAGGCACTTAAATCAGAAGTTGGTGAACACCATGCAGGTGGCAAAACGGAGTCACAGGCATGAAAGACAGGAGGAGTCTACAGAGTCTAGACACTTACTCTATGGTCCCCACTCTGACAGCAGCCAGGCTCCTGAGCTCTCCTCTGGACAGTGGATCCTCTGGTAGAGACATCTTCCTGAGTTCTCCCAGCTCTCGGTGGGAACAGTTTCCTGCCTTTACTAATTTCTGGGTTGTCTCACCCACCACCATTTTGCTGTTTCTGCTTTTACCCACTCTTATCATCTATGTAACTAATTCCCTGCATGGAACTCCCTCTCCTGTGGTGAGGTTCTGTTTTCCTGACTGATCCACACTGATACAGGAGGATGAGCACAGAGGACCAGGGAACCAGGGAGGCAGGAACATTTCAATCATTGGTAAAGGAGGCAGCATTGCATGTGCAATTTTGAAAGCAGACCCTTGCTTTTTTCGGTTTGTCAGAAAGTCATAAATAAACCAAGTATTGGAAAATCACCAGTTCTCTCTGTCAGTTTCCACACACTGCAACCCTTCAACTAAGAATCACTGGGGTTCACTACGCCCACCTGCTGTTTCCTTCCTGCCCCTGGCTGCTACGAAAGTAGCCAGAACCATCCAGAAGCTTAGGATGGGAGAGTCCCCACTCTACCCCACAGAAAGATCCAGATCATGGCCTCACTGCATGTACAATAAAGTGATCTGATGATTAAGGCAAAAAATGTACAGATTCCCCAAAGCCTCTTTAACAACTTTATTCATTAGTTAAACCATTCCACACTGCAGCATTTTGTCCATCCAATTCTTTAAATTCTAACATTATAAACACATGTACTTTAAATTCAAAATGTGCTAATACTTTGAAAGCTCTCTTGAAAATGAAATAAAGAGCAACATGTCAAACTTCTTACACTGATTTTACATGTAATCTCTATTAGCTGCAAACCTGATTCCTGATTTTGAGAATTTTTATAACATACTCTCAATAAATGAGCAAATCACAGTTTACACCATGTAGAAAACCTCATCATTCTCCCATAAACCTATGTCTTCAGTTGTCAATTAGTAGTCATGATCTTGGGGTAGAGGACTTGTTACCTTATGCCAAGAAGCAGTGAAATCGTTCATATCCACTATCGTTTCACCATCTGATGGCAGCTGAAGGTTGAGCTGTGGTATCTCATCAAGTAATAGGAAGTTCTACAGAAAAAGGAGAAACACAGATTGTTAAACTATAAGAACAAAGCTCAAACAAAAATAATTGCTTTCCTGGAATTTGTAATAAAAGATTTTATACAGCTGACATATCATTTTGTCAGCTGTACTTAAACTAGTTCTGTTTCATATCAGAGCATACTAAATAATATATATTATATAGAATAATATATATCATATGGTATACATAATCATATAGTATATATGGTATGCAAAGAGTGTTTTATATACATATGCATGTGTATATATAAACATATTTATATATAAAGCACATATATATATATGTATATGTTTATATATAAACACTGTTGTTTAATTGCTCAGTCAAGTCTGACTCTTTTGAGACCTGCATGGGATTTTCTGGACAAGAATACTGGAGTGGATTGCCATTTCCCTCTCCAGGGGATCTTCCCAACCTAGGGTTCAAACGTTCATCTCTTGCAACTCCTGCATTGGCAGGAGGATTCTTTACCATTGTGCCACCTAGGAAGCCATATAAACATAAGGTTATTTACCACTAGTACCAACTGGGAAGCCCCATATAAATATATACATACATATATGTGTGTGTGTGTGTGTATAATAAACAGTTCCTGGCCATGAGCAAAGTAGTGACTTTCCTAACAAGTATACTGGTTCTTCCTTAAAGAGAAAATATGACTCCAAACTTCAACACATTTAGAACCTGGACATTTTCATTGTTTACCTTTTGAGTTACTAACAACAAACAGGAGAATTGGTAGGAAAGTATTCCACAAATACTTGCTGAACCCCACCAGGTGCCAGGCACCCTGTGATACTACTAGTAACACAGCAAGGAAGGCCTTGCCCAGGCCTTCAGGCATCAAGGGGCACAGGACAGGCTGGGACAACAAGACCAATGGCAGAGATGCCAAACGAAAACCCTGGCGACGCCTGTTTTGCATCATGACCTTTCCCTAGACACTTAAACACACTCTGCCTTTCTCCTAATGTGTTTTAAGTCAGTATCACTGTTTTCCATTAATTATCACTTAAGTTGTTATTTTAAAATGAAATGCTCTTAAATTTCTCTTAAAAATATTTTACAAGCATCTTTCCACAATCACAGTCTCTTCTTCTTGATCACTGCCCTCTCTCCTACAACAGGAATGACTGTAGCTCCCACTTCTTGCTTTGTTCACACTGCTTAGCAGTTACTCAGTGGAATGTAGCTGATTAAAACCAACTCCTGAGAACCACTACAAAGCTAGCATAATGTTATGCAGGAAAACTCCCTCCTGTCCTGTAAATGCTAGACATAATCCAACAAGAAAAGCTACTCTGGCAGAGAAATTGAGTAAACAACTGAGACAACCCCAGTGCCATCGCCTCCTCCAGGAACCATGAAAGTGTGGCAGAGACTGCTGGCTGTCCTCAAAATCTGCTCTCATTCTTCCCAAACCCCAGATATTAGCTCCAAGTGGCAGCCTGGAAGGAGGCCCTCACTCTCCAGGCTCCCAAGAGATAGAAGCAGCCACGTGAGTAAATCCAGGTCAGTGGAGAGTGACAATGTCCAGAACCTTCCTCCGCCCCATGGCCTGGGCTTTGGAGGCTGCCAGCTTGGTCAAGGCCATACATAATGGAGTAACAAGGAAGAGTCTGGAACTTCCCTAATGATGCAGTAGATAAGAATCTGCCTGCCAATGCAAGGGACACGAGTTTGATCCCTGGTCCAGGAGATTCTACACGCCACAGAGCAACTAAGCCCATGTGCCACAACCACTGAGTCTGAGCTCTAGAGCCCAAGTGCCACAACTACTGAAGCCTGGGCACCTAGAGCCCATGCTCCACAATGAGAGAAGTCACCACAATGAGAAGCTTGCTTGCCGCAGCTAGAGAAAATCTGTGCAACAATGAAGACCCAGCACAGATAAAATTAAATTTTTGTTTAAAAAAAAAGAAAGAGTCTGAGTCCCTAACACCATGGAGGATGATTCCCACAATAAATAAATAAATAAATAAAAGCCTGCTGAAATCCTAAACTATTACCTCAAAATATGACTTAAAAACAGGGTTGCTGCAGATGTAATCAATTAAGGTGAGACCACACTGGAGTAGGGTAGGCCCCAAATCCAATATGATTAGTGTCCTTATAAGAAGAGAAAACCAGAGAGACACACACACTGGCAGAAAATGCCCGTGTGATGATGGAGACAGAAGCTGGAGTGATGGCAGTTACAAGCCAAGGAAGATCAAGGTTTTCCTGCAACAACCTAAGCTAACAGAGGCAAGGAAGGATTCCCTTTTGCAGGATTCAGAGGGATGGTGACCCTGCTGACTCCTTGACTTCAGACTTCTAGGCTCCAGGACTGAGAAACAATCAATTTCTGGGGTTTTAAGCACCTGTTTGTGGTACTTGGTTACAGCAGCCCCAGGAAACCCATACAGAGCCTTATAAGGACACTTGCATGAGAAAAAAATAAACTATTTGTGTAAGCAGTTTTAAAATGGGTAATTCTAGGACTCATAGGCATACTGAGTACAAATCAACACAGGGGGAAACTGAAATAAGCATCTGAGGATGTGTGAGAAAGAAAACAACACATAAACAGTAACCTATTACCCTAAAAATCATAAACACACTTCAAGTCCTTGACACCCAGAATATCATGCCCCCAAATCATAAATGTGATTGCAATTGTCTACTGCAAAAGAATAACTAGATGTATGAGACAAGTGCTCAGGCCTGGTACACTAGGATGACCCAGAGGGATGGGATAGGGAGGGAGGTGGGAGGGGGGTTCAGGATGGGGAACACATGTAAATCCATGGCTGATTAATGTCAATGTTTGGAAAAAACCACTACAATACTGTAAAATAATTAGCTTCCAACTAATAAACATAAATGAAAAATAAAATAAAATAATAAAAATAAGAACAACTGGTAAAAACCGAACATGAAAACTTGCTTCTGTGCAGGAAAAGAAAGACATCATGATCCCTGCATCTCTTTCAAAGACCAGCTGGTGGGAGACGGCATCCACTTGTTCCCTCTTCCTCTCACCCAGGCTCACTGAGAATGTAACACTGGCCATGGCTCCTCCTCCCTGCCCTGAGCCTGAGTCCAGCAGGAGACGGGGTGGCCGGATGGTGGTCTGAGGACGCCTCTGCAGACTCTCAGCCACCACAGCCTGAGCTCTCTGTCCACATCACCTCTTCTGTAGTCAGCCAGGTACCAGCTCTCACCTGTTCTGACACAGCTCATCCCTCTCCAATGCTTTTCTCTCAAAACAATATAATTTCAGAACTCCACCCACTATTGACCACTGAAAATATTAACACAACTTTTCTTTTGCCGGTTCCTTCTCCAGCCCTCCTCAGCACCACCAAACCGATCCCAACACCACTTCTTCCTGATCTCTTTACAGCACCTCTGAGTTTCCATCATGCTTAACACACCCAGAGACCCATCAGCACCTAAGTCCACACTCCCCAGGTGGACTCTGCCTGGATGCCCTGAGTACTAACCCCATCCATCCTTCTGAGTCAACCTCAAATGCTAACCCTCCACAGAACCACTCAGGACAATCCAGGCTGGCACTGCCCTCCCTACCTCTGAATCCCGAGAGAGATAGTAAGGCACACAGAGGGGAGACACTACATCATTCATGCACCTACAGTCACAACTCCAACTGAGACCAAGCTTTGCACAGAGTCAACCCCTCATGGGTAAAGCAAGGAACAGACTGCAGGGCTGGTTCAAATCAATAGAAACACTGACTTCATGACTACTATAGCCTTACACAGTCTGAGCTAACATGGCAACAAGCAAAATGTTACACATACATGTTATACATTTTGTCTAGACAGAAATTCCAGTTTTAGCTTAAATGTGTTACTAAGACCAAAAAAAAACAATGTTAAGTATGTGCACAGTGAAACAGAAATTTTCCACTTTCAAAAAAAGAAGAAAGTAAAGAACAAGCATGCCCTAAGTAAGGAATTAAATCTACTGAGTGTTGTTCACAAATAATAGGTCTGAGTAGGGAAAGAGTCACAGTATTCCAGGGGTTAAATGACACTCCATTCAGCACATGACCAACTCATGAAGGTGCAGAAGTGCTGGCTGGATTCTTCTCCAGGACTCCGGCTAATGAAAAAGCTGAAATTAAATTTCTCTTAGATCCAGAACAGGTTCTGCAGGAAAGTGTCAACATCAGAACTATAGCCAAAAAGTGTGAGTTCCCAGTGGCTGGAAATGGAAAATCTGCTTTATGAACAATATAACCTCAGAGACACATTTTATGGCATGTAAAATCACTGAAGACTTTCAGTGCTTCAGAGACAAGATATTTACAATCCTAGTGGAGTCATTCAATTCCAAGGCCTTCAGACCCCTTTTCTTATTAAAAAAAAAAATAGAAGGACTTCTTGGACCTATAAAATCATAGTAAAACCTCATATTCTCTATATGAAAAAAGGAAATTGAAAAGCATCTATAAACAAGAAGACACAAAACTATGAAGACCACGTGTAGGTCTGCTGTGGGTATGGGCCACCACACCCCCTCCAAGCTGGGCAGGGGTGGTGGGTTTCCTTCCTAGGACTCCCAGATATGACCCAAGAAGAAATCCTAGGAGATGACCATCCAGTCTACTGAGTCCCAGGCTGCGGGGGACAGTGGGTAAGCAGAGCTCAACCCCACACTGTATTCTAAACTCCTCATGTCCACCACACTTTCAGTCCATCTGTGGTCAAACCTTACCCAGCTCTAACCACCTGGTCAGTAAACTCAGCTGAACTTTTCTTCCACTCTTGCTGCCCTTTTCACCTTCTAATTGGACATTAACCCATCTAAGTGAGAGGCAGGTTGAGGAAGAAAATGAACATCCAATCATCGTCTATTACCTGTTAGATAACAGCATAGGAACTAAATAAAAGGACAGGAACTATATAACAGGATAGGAACTAAATAACAGAAAAACAGGATAAGAACTAAAGAGCCTCTTGAAGAAAGTGAAAGA